TACTTGTCAACATGTTATATAATATCAGTTTCAAAAAGTTTGTGTTTTATAATAAATAACTAGTTGTTATGAATTACAGAAGATCTGAACAAATGATAAAACTGCAATATCATTTTCCTTCTAATACGTTTTCAAGTATTTAAGTGGAATACGAACGCTGGCATTGCTATTTGAACTTTCTGTATAATTTAAAAATACTTAGAGAAAAGCTCTAGATCACTGGTTCCACTCGACAAGAGATATATATCACAAACATCACTCAAAAATACAAGGTTTTACTCTAGGCTATTTATTTTACATACATTTTTCTCGTTTTTATGTGAGTAAAAGTAAAATATATTAGTACAGACTGCATTATAATAACAAGTCTAGACATGTGTAATATTTCAAATTTGGTTAAACCATTTACATACTACTTTATTGAAGTTAAACTAATTTTTTGACTAGATTTAAACACATGACGTTTTCCATAAAAGCGAATATCACTTGGACCGACTTTTTTTGCCCCTGCCATATAATGGCTGGGGCATATAATGTTACCCTGTTCCGTCATTCCGTCTTTCTGTCATTCTGCCATTCCGTCATCACCAGTTTCCGTTCATTATCTAAGTAATGGTTGCATATATTCAACTTAAATTTAGCAGATTGATATGTCATGAGAAATTACAGGTAAAGTTCAAAGTTGGACATGGTTCGATGATTTTTGACAGAGTTATGCCCTTTTTACTTTGATAATAATATGAAATTTTCAGTTTCCGTTCATAATCTTCCCAACGGTATTACACATTCAACTCAAACTTGACAAATGGAAACGTCAAAGAAATGCGCAGGCCAAGTATGAAATTGGCAATGGTTCAATTATTTTGACAGAGTTATGCCCCTTTTACTTTGATAATAATATGAAATTTTCAGTTTCCGTTCATAATCTTCCCAACGGTATTACACATTCAACTCAAACTTGACAAATGGAAACGTCAAAGAAATGCGCAGGCCAAGTATGAAATTGGCAATGGTTCAATTATTTTTGACAGAGTTATGCCCCTTTCACTTTGAAAACAATATGAAATTTTCAGTTTGTGTTCATTATCTCCCCAACAGTTTCACACATTCAACTCAAATTTGACAAATGGATACATTAAAAGAATGCGCAGGCCAAGTTTGAGTTTGGTTATGGTTTAATGATTTCTTGAAGAGTAATGCCCCTTTCACTTTGAAAATAATATGATTTTTTCAGTTTCAGTTCATTATCTCCCCAACAGTTTTACATATTCAACTCAAATTTGACAAGTGGATATCTCAAAGGAATGTGCATGTAAAGTTAGAATTTGGTCATGGTTCAATGGTGTTTGGCAGAGTTATGTCCCTTTCACTTTGAAAATAATAGAAATGTTTATTATCTCCTCTAGGGTATTACACATTCAACTCAAATTTGACAAATGGATACGTCAAAGAAATGCGCAGGTCAAGTACGAATTTTGTCATGGTTCGATGATTTTTGGCAAAGTTATACCACTTTAACTTTGAAAAAAGGGGAAATTTTCAGTTCACATTCATTATCTCGCCACAGTTGTACATATTCAACCTAAATTAAAGATATGGATATGTCATTAGTTTGGTCAATTTCGATTTTTGTCATGGTTCGATGATAGCTGACAGAGTAAGAGTTATCCCTTATTCAGTTTCGTTCATTATCTCCCCAATGGTGGTACACATTCAACTCAAATTTGATATATAGATACATCTTAGGAATAAGCAGTTAAAGTCTGAATTTGGTCATAGTTCAATGATTTTGAATTTGGTCATAGTTCAATGATTTTGTACAAAGTTGTCTTTCTTGAAGGTTGGAAAAATTTTGAATTTTTAGTTTCAGCACTCATGCTTTTGCGGAAATATATGTAGCCATTACTTTGCCTACAGATATGCATTATTCAATTAACAAAATGTTAACAATGAATAGTTTCAGTGTCTTGAACTTTGTATAAAAATGGTTTGTGTTAACATTGTATAGTTTTAAGGGCTTTGAACTTAAAATTAAAAAAAAAATAAATAATTGGTGCAAACACATTTGGAACTAAATATTATAACATCTGAAATTTTGTTACATGCGGGGGCGTCTGTGGCGTGACGACACATTTCTAGTTTTATTTTGTTTTGTGTTCCTGTTTTTGTATTAAGCACCAGTCAATACAATAAATACAATATGTGCAATGATTGGTGTTCATATTATTATTTTCTTTATTATTATTTAGTTTTGTGTTGTATTAAGTTATAATAAGTTAGTAATGTTGTCCTCATAAAGACAATTTACCTGGCTGTCGATACTGGGTATTGTCAACACGAGAAAAGGTAAATTATCCCAAGGCGTAGGTAAGATGCCAGGGTCTAACAGCCGTATGTTATAAATTTTATAACGAAAAGTGTCAAAATGTTGTAGGCCCTCGGTGATGAACTATTTCCCGGAAATATACTCTTTGAGAATGATATTGGATCAAAACTCATTATAGGTCTATAGTTGTTTTACAATTAAAGATAAGGTAAATAAATTCAATTTACCCATGTACTTTTTGTCTTATCGTGTAGTTCAATTTTGTTTTGCTTTTTTGTTCCACTACTTTAATATATATGACTTATTGCTTCACTCAAATGAACAAAATATATTATACACCTACATAGGTATTGTGTTTCTATCGGTTAACCTTATTCAAGATAAAAAGAAACACCTGGTAAAGCACATATGTACTTTAATTAGTTTGTTTACTAACAATTATATTTCTCTGAGAAGTAGAAGTGTGTGGTCCACTTGTAAAACAGTTATCACTTATTAACACTTTCATAGCACACTTATTAATGCTTTCATAACAGTACATAGTTATTTTTTCCGCGGAAAAATAATGAGGTCATTGTCCACATGTGACGGGGTCAAGCTCTTTGGATACACGAAGCTTAATATACACATAATTATTTCTACCGACAGTTAAATAGTTATTTACCACGTTTAACACGTTATCTATAATTTATAGGAAGATAACTTCTAAACAGAGTTATTCCAAATATTTTTATAATTAAAGAGATTCATAATTGACAAACAAGCGAATAGAGAAAATAAATGTAGGTGAACATACAAGTTGTTTAGCTTTATTGGAATTTATTTACCGGTAATATTTAATTCATAACACGTGTTGTAAGTCTTTTCATATTTTGGGCAGATATATATTTTATCCTAAACACTTTCCAAAATTAACTGTATGTCAATCACCATTATAACGGTAAATATTTTGAAATGTAAAGACAATTAAGCTTAATTTGAAAATGAACAAGCAATTATCATAGCAATCCATAAGTCCCCTACCGGTAAGAGCCCAAGCAACATTCTGAAGGGCCATTGGCCATTCACTTATGTTTCTATTTTAAGTAAATTTGTTGAAAAAGTTCTTTAAAAGTGATCACAGTGAACAGACAGACATACGGACTGAAGGACAGTCTAAAGTTATTTTTTAAACATCCCTGTTATCAAAATATAACATTTTAAAAGCAAAATTTAAGAAAAAAGGAGATAACGATGTCATACATGATGTGAGTGTAACAAAGAACAATTAGTAATGAAGGTATGAATATTGAATATTTATTTTGAAATTGAAGTAAATGAAAGTTAAAAGAACAAATAGGAAAAATTAAAAGTTTAAGGAGGAGATAAGTCTGGAAATATGGATGCTAGATTTATAAACCTTGTCATATTATAATGGTGTGGGAGTTTGAAGAATATTCTATCATGATTGAAGAAGTTGGAGTAAAAATTACCAATTTCTCAAAAAAAAGTCTAAGTTCAAAAGGGGCATAATTCTGGAAATAGTCTTGCTAGAGTATTGAACACTCACAAATGTTGAGTGATAATAAGAAACATTTATATGAAGTTTGAAGTAGATACGTTCAGAAAAAAAGAAGTTATTAAAAAAAACAATGTTTTTTTTCATGAAAATTTTAAGTTCAAGGGCGGTAATTCTGATAAATTTTGTGCTAGAGTTGTAAACTTTGTCACATATGATGTGGTTGATGACTAGCAACTTATTTTTAAAGTTTGAAGAAAATACCTTAAGAAATAAAGAACTTATAGTGAAAAAACTTAAAAACTAGAATCAGAAATCTTGAAATTCAGTCTATTTGTTGCCATAGCAACCAGAATTTTCAACACAGGAAGATAAGAAAAGGATGTGCATAATTTCCATACTGCCATCTACCCATATGTCAAGTTTCATAAAAATATTTTCAATACTTTTTGCGTTATCACTGGATCCAGGTTATGTGTAAAATCTGCCATATTTTCAGTCTATTTGTTGCCATAGCAACCAGAATTTTCAGCATAGGAAAAAAAGTAAAAGACGTGCATAATCTCCATACTGCCATCTATCCATATATCAAGTTTCATAAAAAAAATTTCAGTACTTTTTGCATTATCGCGGGATCCAGGTTATGTGTAAAATTTGCCATATTTTCAGTCTATTTGTTGTAATAGCAACCAGAATTTTCAACATAGGAAGAAAAGAAAAAGACGTGCATAATCTCCATACTGCCATCTATCCATATACCAAGTTTCATTAAAATATTTTCAGTACTTTTTGTGTTATCGCGGGATCCAGTTTTGTGGACGGACAGACTGACGGACGGACAGACGGACGGACAGACGGACGGAGGGTAAACCTAAAGTCCCCTCCGGTAAACCGGTAGGGGACTAAAAAAAGGAGCGTAATGTCACTTTAATATCACACTCTATAATAGATGTTATCCGAAACTCGGCAAATGTAGATTTTTCCAAGCTTATCCGTAGGTACAAACAAACTTTCACTGTCACAGCTTCACGGCACATCACCCGTCACAACAGATTAGTCAATCTATTGCGGTTATTTTTCAAGCTGTAACTGTAAAAGTTTGTTTGTACCTACGAATAAGCTAGTAAAACAAAATTATTTTTAATTCCGGAGTAAGTTTATATCTGTATTTTTCAGTTAGACAGTGGTCATGTCAGTGATGATGAGATTGGTAAGGCTGAGAAAGCTCCTGCTGGAGTTGGTGTGTACCTTCCCCATGTGTTTGGTATCCCGGTTGGACCCGACACCAGTCTTGTTTCAGGTATTTATCAGGGTAGATGATTCAATATCTTTATACAGCCTCAGGTGTATACCAAAGATCATTACTTTTAGTGTAGATACTTTTGGTTTTACCTAAAAGAAACAAAAATAGATCAGTTCGTCAATCAAAAATTGTTTTGCTTAAATGTTTCTGTTATCATATTCTAAAAGCATACAAAGTTTTAAGAAATCCGTTTCAACAGTTTTCATTATGCCTATATTTTTATTTTGCTTGTATGTCTTATACGAAAACTATATAGCGAACGTCTTTGAAATGTATAGCTTTCCAAACAACACGTATTAAGGAACGGGATTTGATCGAATATGAAGAGACACATGTCATTTTCTGAATTATTAGTAAACCCAACACAAGGTATTTCAGAATTTTAATTGTATTTTACCTCATATATGTTTTGTTTGTTAAATGTTATGTGTTTCTAGCTCACGTAACAACACCAACAGGTATTAGGGATGATGTGAAAATAGATCACAACAGAATGGGTCATGTGACAATGAATTATCAGCCAAGAGAAACAGGCCTTCATATTCTTCATGTATATTACAATGACAAGAAAATAAAAGGTTTGCTTAAAATTCAATCTCCACCCACATAAAAATATTAAGTTGAACAAACTAGAAACCGTTCAGGAAACCTTTAAGAAAATAAAGAAACGGCAGAATTTTTTTTGTAGAATCCCTGTGTATTTCGAAAAGACAAAGGCCAGGAGTGAAAAAAGAGTAACATTTTGTACCACTATTTATGCACAGTTTTTAAATTATTTAATTGCACTGACATTCTAAATATTGATTTCATTACTTGATTCAATAATGTTGAATTTCTTCATTGATTTTCTTTACATTTTAGATAATAACTTACATGTTGCTTAAATAAATATATAAAAAGACGACTTTGGATTAAAAGTTTTAAAACAGCTATTACTATTTGCATCATATGTATAGTTAAATGCATTCTCACTCGAATGAACTCGAATAAGTCTTTTCATATTTCTTATAAAAGGTATATCGCTATTTTAGGCAGTCCATATCAGTTTTATGCCCACCCACAGAACAGTAAATATGTGCACGCTTTTGGACCTGGACTAAGTCATGGTATAATCCACAGACCAGCAGAGTTCACAGTTGTTACAAAGGCTGCTGGTGCAGGTAAAGTCTAATGATTAACTGTCTCTTTCTTTTTTTTTACAAAAAGGGTAGACGTTCTTTGGGTATTGATTTAATAGTATGTCCATGTATATTTAGCAATCATGCTTGCAATATTTTTGGTGGTAAGAACCACCACCAAAAACAACAAACAAACAGGCAAACAACAACATCAATTGCAGCAAATTATAATGGCAATTCTAAAGTCCATATTAAAACTCCCGGCTTAATATTTTTAGCAGTTAGCAACGGTAGCTACTTGCTTGTATTATTTAGTTTCTATCTTATCACGTCGAATGCAAATAATGAAATTAAAATAAAGGAAGCAAATTATGCACTAAAGAAGAAAATGATATTAATAAAACAACAAAATTCCAAAACATCTTTTTTTTACACAGAAATTGTTAAAGGAAACAATGGGAACAAATTCAAAAGAAAAAATCGCATATTGTTATACACAAAATTGAAATGTCTGCCATGCCTCTGAAAAAGCATTATATGCTGAAAAGCAGACAAACTCGAATAGTAATTACAAGTCAAACAAAATGGAAGAAAACTTTACACTCCATCCGAATGATAAATAAAGTTTAAAACGCACAGTTTTGTAGCTTGTATTCTATTGCGAAGGAAACGTAATGTAACTAATAATTGAAGGAAACAGCTTTGTAGAATAGAATTTCCGCCCATACTATAGCTATAATACTGAATCAGTATTAATTTATCTAGGCGGGTGTGTATTGCTGATAGAATTTCCACTAAAGTCTCTTTATTTTGTATCATTACTGTTGTATAGTGGATTAAATTCTCAAAACTTGAACTCTATATAGTGTACAACGTCTACGCTAGTCAAAAACCAAATTCTAAACTCCATCTACTAGGTTTGTAGACCACTATATATCATAAATACTAGCCACATAAAACGTCAACAGATTGTGTTACAACAGAAGTTATAATAAATAACTATTTATCATTTGACCAGTACAATCTAAGACTGTTTCGCATATTGTAATATGATATATTATTCAATAGGTGAGTTATGAAATAAATACGTGTATGGTAAAACCATGTTCGTCATTCATTTGAATTAAATAAAATATGTGACTAATTAACCTTAAAATGCAGAATGCAACATTACTACTTGTTGTAGGCGGCGTGTGTATTGCTATAGAAGGTCCTTCAAAGGCGAAGATTGAATGTGTTGATAATGAAGATGGGTCTTGTTCTGTTACATATGTTCCCACTAGACCAGGAGAATATACTATCATGGTAAAAATGGGAGAAAAAAGCATTCCTGGATCACCATTTACTGCTAAAATTTCAGGTGTGTATCTTCAGAAGTTTTTGTGTATTTTGACATATGTTACATGATTATTATCTTTAACGGGGTAACCCAATTGGGGCCTCAAGAGAAAATCTATATTCGTAGCCGTATGTACGCGAACTACGATATTAATAATATGTTTCAAATGAACTTTAGGTTTAAAGCAAATATTAAAATATTTAAAACGCATCTATCGCTGTTTAACATTTTGCATTTTGTTTCAAACCTTTGGTAAACTATTGGATTTGTTTCGTCTTACATATCTTAAATATCAATAGGTCTATTCACTACCGGTCTTATTTTCTACTCAATAGATGTATCAGATATTTTATTGAAATCTCAATCCTTTATTTTGAATTAATATTTTTATTCTTATTGTTCTTATTTTTTTTACATATTACATTTATTAATCAGAATAAAACTTAGTCATTTATATTGTTCCTTGTTTCTGGGCCTCATGGACGATTGTTCAAATTTGTTATCTCGTTAAAGTTGAATAAAGTCTTTATTATTATAATTATTATTGTCAAAATATTAGTTTTTTCATTGCTATCAATTCCTTTCTAGATGCAAAATACATCTATATTAAAAACTTTGCAAGCTAAATACTTGAAATTGTTTCTGTTTTTTTATAATTTCTAGATGGACACCCAATTAGAAATGCTGCTGAGATTCCGAGTATTTCAGGTGGTAATTTCAGTTTACAGTATGAAGGTATACAGAACATGGATGTTGATGATCTCCATGCTGTTGTAGAAAGTCCATCGGGGAATGACTACCCATGTGAATTGAGGCTTCTCCCTAACGGACATTTAGGTAGAGTATTCCAATACATTGATATACTAAGCGTATTAAATACTGAGGGAGCTAATTAGTAAATTTAGTAAATTGTGAAATTATTCATCCACTCACATACACTTTTCACTTTTCGCACTCACGCATGCACGCATGCACGTACACACTCGCTCGCTCACTCACCAACTCACTCAATCAGTATACGCGCCTGTGAACAGAATCTTTTTATACATTGAAATTCAGTTACACGAATAGTACTGTTAACTACTTTTTTGTGCTTTTATTATTTTTTTAAAAATCGACTTTTGTATTTTTCTTGAAAAATATATTTGAGAAACCAAATTTTCATTTCTATGTGAAAAATACATATGCAAGAATGTCTGAAGTTTCTATAAAAACTGATCAAAACGCATAGTTCATTTATTTTGTGTGCTTCAAATAATACAGACAATTTACCAGGTTTTCACAATTTGGCACAACAGACGAGGTCATATTTTAAAACATTTGCCACAAAACACTCAAATTCTGCCAGTCTTAATTATAAATGGTAATTACTTTGTCGTGTCAGTTCTGCTCAAAATGCACATTTTTCTCCAGAAACGTGGAGCAATCGTTTTAATGCTATTTCTTACATTTACTTTAGACAAATTCACTTAAAATCAAAGAAAACTGACAAGCAGTGCTTACATCAGGTTTCAACGAAATGATTTTTTTTTCAATTTATTTAATATTCTATTAGCTTTGATGAATATTTTAAACAATTTATTTATTCAGAGGTCTTGGACTTTTGTGTCGTAATTTGTATACTTTTGGATGAGTCTGCGTTTATTATCATCAAATAAATAACAGATGAAATAATAAACATATTAACACTAAAATAACTATGTAGTGATATATTTGTGTCTACGAGACAATCAATTAATATTTCATTCTCGATTTCAAATTCTTTGAATTGCTAGATATATCTTCACATTGCAAATATCTTATTTAGCCTTACTATTTAGCCTTACGGGAAATATTTTTTCTCCTATATGATCGTGTGTGGGCTGAAACACATTCATAATAAACTTTAGATTCTTTCATGCGATGAAGCTACCTTGCTAGGAATTGTTTATTGTTCTACACGGGTACCTGCTCGAGCCTAAAATATTCACAGAAGGGGATCTGAGATCTTTCTTTGCCAGATAAGATTGAAAATAGTGAAAAATGAATCCCTACAGAACGTTTGAAACATAAAAAATTGAAAATGTTGCAGGCTTGGCTTGATTGAATCTGTTCAGAGACGGTACTGTAAAGTGCAAGCTGCTGACCATGCACCCTAGCACCGCCGTAAGCAGTATTCCATATTTAAGCCTCTACAGTGTCAGTATCACTTAAAACCAACAATAATAATGAATAAAAATAATAATTATAATAATAAAAATACAAGAGTCCATTCCGAAGTAATATAAAATATATACTGGATACTTTCTAAACGTGATATTGTTTTGCAAATTATGCCGCTTTTAATTGGAATGGCAATAACGTGTCACATTTAAGTTTCCATGATTATCCCCATATGAACACATTTGCAGATGTTTTTAAGTTCTATAAATTCACTATTACCATGATTAATTGTTGGATAATGCCTAAAATATGATAAACAAGATAAACCGGTGCCATGGGGTGTTGACGGTTACCTTCACTTTACAGTATCATCTATGAACAGGCTCAATCAATAGAGCCTACAACATTTTCAATATTGTAATTTGTAGCGTTCTTTTGAGCGTATGGATTCCGTTTCTCTCTCTCTCTCTCTTTTGTATTTACGCTTGTATTTTCACAAATTTAAGATATGTGTTAAAATATATAATTATGATAATAGAGCTAATCTATCTTGAATTACGTGTGTTGGAATGAATATAAGTATTAATCATTTATAAACTTAAACTTGATGGATACACCAACTGCCCTTTTTCTTCCATATTTTAGGGCCGATGATATATATTTAACTTGGTTTTGAGGTATATAAACATGAGTATATTTTTTAGATCAATAGGTTTTTTTAACCAATGAAACGTAAATGAATAATCTATATTTTTCAGGATTTTCGTTTACGCCTGAAGAAGTTGGTCAGCATGAAGTAAGTGTCCGTAAATCTGGTAACCACATCCAAAATAGTCCCTTTAAAATCTACATTGAGAAAACTGAACTTGGAAGAGGTCACGCTAACAAGGTTAAAGTTCATGGTGACGGTATTGTAGAGGGTGTTTCTGGAGTACAGAATGAGTTTATTATTGACACAAGAGAAGCAGGTATTGAAGCCGAGTCCATTGATATTGTAAATGAAAATGTTATAATAATACTTTGTTCTTTATCAGATCCGATCGCAAATGTGGTGCCCATTTGATAAGATAATTAGATTTTCTATATTATTAATCCATCACATATGTTCAAACGCAATCATCCCTTTGCAAATTCAGTTAATGACTGCACAATAAATCTGAAATATATGTAATATATTTTGCATGATACAAATGACAAAATTTTAAAAACTCTTCAATGAAAAGAGGAAAGTGAAAGAGAGTATGTAAAATACTGAAATTTATAAATGGGTTAAATAAAATTGTGTTATGCTAGTCTCTGGCGAGCATAGTCAATAAATTTGGTAATGATGCTACACGAATATTATATTCCCTAAATAAGAACTGTAAACAGCAAAATTGAAAAAGTTTCATTGACGGGTATATTGTGTAATGTGTCTAAAAGTTACGCACATGACGTCATGAAAAAATATCCACCGTTTTATACTGACTTATAATAATATGAGTGGTATATGTAATATGATATATCTTAATCTATTATATGATAATTTTTCAAACCACAAGATGAAAAAATCCTGCATTTATTATTGAAAGAACTTGAATTTTCTGTTAATTATATACTTTTCTGACATTACAATCCGGAAGACTTCTCCTTAAATGTTGTGTTTTGGCCGAAGTTAGGAAGACAACACCAGTGAAAAATATGTTCCTCTACAGTAAAATATAAATTTGTATATTGAGAATGCGGAAAATGAAAATATGCAATTTATTTCATAATTTTTTCTCAATGTTCCATAGATAAGTTTACATTCTATAATCAATACAAATATGGTAACATTTTGATCCCAGTTTGAACAGGAGAAATTCGATTTGTTTCATCATATGAGCCTCGCGATGACAAAACCAACATAATGCGTTTGCAACCAGCATCCGCACACTCTGATCAGGATCCTTGCTGTTCGCTTTCAGTTTCTCTGCTTGTAATAGAGTTAGTAAGCGAGTAGCATTGGTGCTGATCAGACTGCGCGGATGCGCAGGCTGGTTTCGATCGATGCTGGTCGCAAATGCACTATGTTGGTTTTGTCATGGCGCGGCTCATATATTGAAGTAATGAAGCAACATAAATTGCTTTAAATGCAATTTCTATGTTTACAGTCGTAAACGATGCAGTTCTTGGCAAATATTTAAAACAATTTTCTGTTAATTGCGTATTTTTGAAATTATTGGCAGTTGTATGAATGATACAGTTAACATTTTCTGAATTGTTTGAAATATAAAAACATTTTTTTTTTTTGACAATTATTGAGAAGTCATAAAAGACAAGTTACCATAATGAACTATAAAGAATTGGGTCATCTAAAAATATTTATTTACATTAATTAAACACTTATTGAATTTTCCGCCATAAACAAATGACCGTTCTGCACTGTAGACGCTTTATTGTAAATTATAAAGTAATAATATCGGTTGATGTAATTTTTCAAATTGTTGTTTATATTTTTTTCAAAGTTCAAAAACAACAGGTGTGTGAATGTTGATGGAGACATACATTCGTTATGTTCTGTAATTAGTTTTTCATCCAGATTTCTTAAAAGTAATTATTTTCTTCTAATTAGGATAAAAAAGATCAATATTTTTCCATGTTAAAGTTATAGGAAGGCCTAAGCGTAGTTAGATGTGGATCTTTATTGATAATCAAAACATCTCATTTGATAATTAGGATAAAGCAAACTGGTTTCTAACGCAATAAAGTTTAACACGAAGCTTATTGATAATAAATACATCTCGTGTAATTTCATGGTAAGGAGAACCGGGGCCTAGGTGCGGTTAGGTTCACTTAGAACTTATTGATAATAAATTCGTCCCATCTGATTTCCAGGATATGGCCAACTAGGACTGGCTATGGATGGTCCAAGGCGTAGTAAAGTTAACATGGATCTTATAGATAATGAAGATGGCACTTGCAAAGCTGTGTATAAACCAAAAACACCGGGGAACTATGTCATCATGGTGACATACGGTGGTCAACATATTCCAGGTAAGATTTGAACCTTTGTTTTGTTTTTGAGTTTTACGTCACATCGACACAGTATAGGTCATATCACGACGTTCCAGCTTTACTGGTGGAGGAAAGCCTCAGGTGCCCTTCCGTGCATTATTTCAGGCACGAACGGGCACCTGAGTAGAACCACCGACGTTCCGTACGCTAGCTGGATAGCTTCCTCACATGAAAGAATTCAATGTCCATGTCGAGATTCGAACCCACAGCGGTGAGAGGCAAGTGATTTGTAAACTCTTTCGATTATATTTTTACATATCAAAGTATTTCTATAATTGCTTAATTAAGTTATTAACGTACCAGTTGTACTTTATATATACCTGCACTAGTCAAAATTCCGATCATAATTATTTTTGCGTAGAGTTATCAGTAAGTAAATTCTTACTAGTTACACGTGTTTACAAATAAAAATCCTGAAAGACGAACAGCCGACCCATTTGGACCTTTATTAGTCACCTTAGAAGCAAATAATAATCTGAGCATGTATGATTATTTAAACACATTTTTAAACATGGTGTCAAGTTTATATTTAAGTACCATTTCTCATCATTACGCCTCCAATAAAGATAAATTAACGACTATGCATTAAATACATAAATAGATAAATATATAGGAAAGTACCCAAGTTTTTGTGCCAATTCGATATATGTTGAACTGCTGGTGTGGTGATATTCTTGATGTTTATTTTATGTGTGCAGAGTTCATTGTCTCACCAATGAATGTGCCAAACGTTTGTTATATCTTGAAAGTAATCATTGTTCCTAATATTACTTTATCCACTACACACGCTTAAATGCCTCTAAAATATTATCTAGATCCAATAGTTAAAACGGAAAGACTAGTAGAAAATAATATTGTATTCATTTCAACCTGCATTCATATTAAACTGTAAAAAAATTCTTCCGGGTCTTGGAATATTCATGTGCGCCAAATCTAAATCTTGAGACATGAGCACATTCTCTTACACAAAACTCTAATATTTTTGTCTTATATGTTCGTAGTGTGTAACAATAAATGAACGAGCCGGGCCGGTTACAAATTTCTAAGATATAATAAAGCATTACGCTCATTTGTTGTGTAATACTTGTCACTTACTTATTGTATAAATGAAAATTGCATAAATGGGTATTGTAACACTTATAATTCAAATGGTGTATTTATAGGCACACATATGATTATAAATAAAGTTTCACTTTAGAATAGTTCACATTAAGTTCCTGTGTATGTTGTTCAGAGAGCCACGTTAAAAATTAAGCTGTTCATTTGTACAAGCAGATGTTCGGATATATATATATATTCGTGTATAACCATCCAAAAACAAACCACTATAACAGTAATATTATTATTATAATTATTATTATTATTTGTATTATAAATATATAAACAACTATCACCAACATCATCATTATCATCCAAATTATTAATATGATTATTATTGTGGATATCATAATAAAACAAAGTCTTGTAGCCTTTTGACAAAAAAAAAAAAAAAAAAAAAAAAAAAAAAACTAAGTCACTTGTTACAAAGAAAAGATAAAAAGTTAGTGTAATATAGTCTGTACGTATAATACTTTATAAAGAAGAAATATATAAACGTATTAAACATTTAATATTTCAACAGGAAGTCCCTTTGATATCATTGTTGAAGAACCGGCCGAGCCTATGCCTGAAAGATCGTTCAGAAGTGCGTCGAAACAGGGCCAAGATTGTATGTTTACTTTTCTTTTTTATCATAACTATCACTATAGATTTCATAATCATTTTGAATGTTATGATTCCTATTATTTTTAGTGTTATTTTTATCATTACTGTGATATTGATGATGATTATAAATTGGACGATAACTTTATAGGTTAATCAAAGTCCTGTTTGTTTTCAAAGTTATATGGGGACCTAGAGTCCCATATATAGCGTTTTTGAGTGATGCCAGATGACTGCTTTCTGTGTGTCACCAGTGTGGCCTCTGGAGGAATTTGAATATTAGGCCTAGTAGTCTAATCCCTTTACCTCCTTTGTACCACACTTAAGCAACAAGTATTTTGTGTATATGATATAAAATTAATGATTTCAAAAATCAACTTTGATATAGCATTTATCTATAATAATACTTTAACATAGCATCTATCTAAAGTACTACTTTAACATGGAAACATTAACGGGTTGTAATCTGTGTTTATTTATTACTGTTATGTACATCTTTAAGACAACCGTATTATTAACATCTTTAAGACTACCTTGTGTATGTCTTTTGTTTCAGTATGGCTGTAGGAACAAACATAACTTACTAGGTTTAATACTTTTGATAGAATGAATGACGTACATACATGTATAAGACTTGCTTTTGTATTGGACTTTTACGCTTATTTATAAATCGTTTGTTTGAGATACATGTCTTTAAGCGTTATATTATAACTGTCTTTAAGCGTAATATAATTCGTATATATAAGATTTTGACATTGCTAGTAATTTAAAGATTTTTATGTGATGCAAGTTTGAAAATTATATTTTATATAATTAAAAGGAAACAACAATATTTAAGCGGACACTAATATAAACATTTTATGTAAGCTTATTTCGTTATGATGCTAGTATTTGAAAAGAAAAATACGTTTAAACGCTTGTTTTGTTAACAATAACAGTCAGAAAATATTACAGTATTAATATGTGGAATATTTGTTAAACAATATGTTATGTATGTAAAAATTTAAAGTGGCTGCTAAATACATGTAATTGTTTTGACAGAATAACATTAACATACATGTCTGTTTTGATTGTATGTATATAAACATTACATGTATGTGCAAACAAAATATATCTATACTAACAGTGTGGTGAACTTTAATGATGTTTTTTATAAACTGCCATGTCTTACATGCAAACACTTGTAAGTCAATAACAGTATAGTCATCTAAATTGTATGGAAATTGACTTGAATTTCAATAGATTGCTCCATAAATCACTGTTAAATTTGTGTATAATCACTCTGAAATGAATTAAAAGTAAATGTATACCGAAAACGAGTTAAAATGTATAAATATTTAAAAACTTCATATTGTTATAAAAGAAAATCTTAAATTCAGCAAAAGCTTTTAAATAGTTAATTAAGATATTTTATTTATAATGTACAAACTACACTTATTATTACAAATGCATCTTTTAATATACCGGTATTATATATTACAAAATGATTTACAGGCTTTGACAGTTTTGTATTGTTTTAGATCCAGGAAAAATATAAATCCACAATTTAGGCATGAATACGTCACGAATACACATTTTTTTCTTTTTTCTTTTCAGTGTGGTATTAGAAACATAGAAGAGGATTCTTCAGCTGCATTTATATGATTCAAATTTTAACAAATTTTACAATAAAACAACTTTAATAACTGTTAATTAATTGAGTGTCATATCATATTTTACAAGGACATTTCATGATGTGTGTTTTTTTTTAATTTAGAAGGAATTATATGCAGTTATTTCTAATTGATTTTCGCGCGATGGGGATTTTAAATATGACTCACTATTTATAAAAAATTACAACACAATAGAATGAAGCTATATTTCCAAGCAGACTTGTTTTAAAGATTTCTTTTTAAAATATTTGTTCGAAATCAAACCATACTGCACAATTATTAAGTGAAGAAGTCTCAAGGGAGATAATCAGTAAATAATTTTGACTCATTAAGTGATGAAGACTCAAGGGAGATAATCAGTAAATAATTTTGACTCATTCAGTGATGAAGACTCAAGGAAGATAATCAGGAAATAATTTTGACTGAGATGAAGAGATATATAGTATGAACATTCAACCCCTCATATTGACGTTGATTTTATATTGTAGCAGTGCTGATGACTTTTGTGACTTTTTCCCCTTTACGTAACTATTGTTAAAAAATCTTACCATGTGAGTGGAAGTACTTACCTTATCTTCAACCGGTGTAATAGTATAATTTATACCCTCAAAACCCATGCTTTATTTTAAAATATGTCTATATACAGTGTCATTGCAATAAATTTATTTTAAATGATAGTTTTATGTTTATGTTATTTGTTAACATCAATGTCTATTTTTTGAAACATTCCTTTGACTTGACGTTGTCTGACGGATTGGGTGGATAGACAAACGTGGAGTCGTGGTCATCACACCGTATTACCGGCGGCAGTGATGGAAGATCACTGCAGTGTTGGCAGATATCTGAAAATTACCGATCGATACATGTAGGTTATAAATTTAGTTGGTTTAATTATATTACACAAATACGGCCCATATCATTGCTATAAAACTATTGACCATTGAATGGAGATACTGTAAGGTAATTTTGGACTCGTTTTTTCCTGTTTTAAGACTTTTTGAACAGGTTAAAAGTGACAGCCTCGGAAAAATCCGTGAAAATGTCTGTTTTCAGTTCAAATTATCTCAAGTTTTAAGTAAATGGCAGGATTTCCTATTATCAATATAGACATTCATCAATTGGGGTCACGCAAGCCAAATATCTACCCCGTGACTCGTTTTTTGAAAGTTTTACAGACGCTCAATCTTGTCCGGTCGAAGAAAAAATGCTGCCGTTGTAGGCAGATACATATTATAAATGCTGCCGTCGATGGCAGAAATACCATGAAAGTGGCTAACATTCTGACAGAAAATCAAGTTGAATCTTTTATCAATTCCTCTTTGCGTCCTTTTAGCCGGAATTGAGACGTTAAACTATCATTTCATATTATTAATGCGGTATGTGCATCGAAAAAAGCTTTTTAGCAACATGCAGATACAATACAAAAAGTGATGATTTAGTACGACAAAATTGCACTGCCGCCGGTAATACGGTGTGGTCATGAGATGGTAAGATCAACAGAAAAGCTAAAAATTACTCGTGGCCATTTAATTTAAATAAAAATTATAATAATGATAATAATGAGTATTAGGGAAAATAGCTAAAAAAAGCTCGGTGGTGCTCTATTCTTTTTGTTCCGTTTGAAACGTTTCTGTTCTGCGTGTTAAATATAATTCTATCTTAGTTATTTACTATGTTTAAGGTTGTTATTGATTATTTACCTGACTTTAGCCGATGCTAGGGGGCATGAGGGATGTTTCATATTATCCCTTATGTACAGACTCAAATTCAAACCAAGTCACAACAAAAAGGATCACAAGAGGGATCACAGTTTTTCCAGATTTTGTTTTATTTTAAATTGTTTCATTAGATTAATGATATTTGTAAAGAAATAAAATCTCTTTTAACAAAATGTGTCATTCAAAAGTGACGAATGCCCCCGAAAAGATTTCTTATGCATTGTCGAAAGTTATTATGAAAAGAAAAGCCAATGAAAGTAAGTAATTGCTAAATATTGTTCTTATGAAATGAAGTGCTATTTATAGCAAACTTACCACCTTGGGACATGGGTCTTGGATGGGACACATTGTCTTGATGTGGTAAACATTTATGCCATGTTATTTCAAAGTCCTTCAATGTATGGCAATGTTACAGTTTGGAAACTGATATGTATCTTCAAAATCTTCCTATCAGCAAAAGTATCTTCAAACTATTAAAGGGACTTTGACCTTAGAGGTAGGAACATGGGTCATATACAAAACAGGTTGTATTGGTGTGGTGGATATTTGTGCCAAGCTATTTTAAATCTTTTCAATGCATAACAATGTTACACTCTGGATACGAATGTGTATCTTCAAACTCTTCTTGAGTAAATGAGTTCCTTCTATGTGAAAGAGTGACCTTAGATGTAGGAACATGGTTCTCGAACACGACGTGTCGTCTTCATGTGGTAGACATTTATGTATGTTACGTTATTTAAAAATCCTTCCGTGCATTAAAAAATTACAGCCCAGACACAAAGGAGAGTAGCTTTAAAATCTACTTGAGAAAGTGAATCCTTCAAACTGTGTGACCTTGGCCTTTGACTCACAGACATGGCCTTAAATGAAAACACATAACCATGGTGTGTTTGACTTTTGTGCTAAGTAATTTTAAAATATTTCCATGCATGACAAAGTATAGTTTGGACACAAATGTGTACATTCCAACTCTAAGTGTGGCATTGACCTGGAAAGTAGGGGCACAGGTCTTTGTCGCGACATGTCGTCTTGTGTGGAAGACATTTATGCCAAGTTTGTTTGTTTTGTTTTTTAATCCTTTGATGCATAACAAAGTTACAATCCGAAGATGAATGTGTGTACCTATTAATCATATTGTGATAATGTGAAAATTCAGAATGTTAGTGTGACCTTGACCTTTAAGGTAGGGACGTGATTCTTAGACGAGACATATCGTCTTGATGTGGTAAACATTTGTGTCGTCATTTTTAAAAATCCTTCGATGCAAGACAAAGTTACAGTCCGGACACGAATGTGTGTAGCTATTCACTCTAATTGTGTTTATGCGAAACTTAAAATGTATGACCTTGACCTTTGAGGTAGGGACGTGGTTCTTTGTCCCTATGTGATAGATATTTGTGCCAAGCTATTTCAAAATCCTTCAATGTATGTCAAAGTTACAGTCCGGACACGGATGAAGTGGGGATTCACAGACAGACGGACAACCAGACAGACAGACAGACAGACGGTGCGATTTAAATATGCCGCCCTTCGTGAGAATAAAAATCCATATACAAATGAAAACATCAATAAAAGGAAGCAATTTGCTTTCAAAATTTAAATATTTTTCTCATTAAAAAAACGGTGGTAATTATACCATGACATTTAAATCCTAATCCAATCAAATCTTTTTTGACAATGCCAATCTTACATCGGAAAAGAAGTACATGTACTGCGATAAACTTAAGCTTCAAATACAAACATTTAAAAAAGAAACAAGTTCTTGTAGGGAGTCGTTCGGCCTGTTTATTTAATAATGGCGTATAAAAGTAGGCATTTTTCCGAGTGACCTTTACATTATTGTCCTTATCTCGTTCACAATTTTACTTCCTTGATTATCTGTGACGCGCCTGACAGTGCTATTTAAGCGAAATGTTATTTTAATATTCACGCAAATGACCCCGACATTCACACACAAGTTAAACGTTCAAGTAAACATTCCATACACATGTCAACGCTCAGGCAAACCCTACACCACAACCCGTCTAGACAGCTCAATCGAAAGAGCGTTGGACTGTGAATCGGACGACCCAACTTCGATTTCCGAATGACACAGGTCACTTTCGCTGTGATTGATTATGAAATATTTTCATTTGCACTGTACCTTTGCTCTTGTATGTACAGAAGTTTCAGTTCCTTGCGCAAGTGAAGGCAATTTGTACTGGTAAACTGCTTGACGGCCTGCCAAGTAATGATGCAGTGGCTGAACTGTGCTCTGATAATTGTAACGTGTCTTACTGCCGTGATCCGGAGTGAAAACTACCAACACCACCACCATCAACGCCACCAACCCTATACCACACACAATTTTAAATTCACACAAACATTCCCTAAATAAGCCACAACACATTCGTTCTGTATATAACTTGAACAACCTATTCATGGTCTTGTAAGCATCCCGTACATCCCTATAGCACACATGGGAAAGTTCATGTGAACATGAAAACGAGACTTGTAATGAACAATTGCGATGTGATATAGTTGATTTGGAACTAGGCTAGACGGAGAACAACTGTGATTTTATATGGACATTTTTACTGTAAACATGAAAATGAGATTAAATAAATTGGATCAAGGAAAGTTTGCTATTGGTAGATCACATAGTGCAAATCGTTAAAGTTCATTGGTGAAAATATAAAATGTGTAAAATCACACATCATCACCTAAGTTATGTTCTTCTAAATTTAATAGGAGTTAATCTCATTGCACTAAGGTGACGGTATCATACTGCATCCCATGTCATAGCTTGAAATGTTTATTAATACAGATGTAATTGTGTGGTATATTGTACAAAGTAAATTATACATTTCATGGAGAAGACAGACACATGGAGGTGTCTGCTGCCCTCAGTGTGGGGTCGCTACATTGCACCATCATGAGCTCACACCTACATAAAATACAATTTCAAGCTATAGAATAATATAACAAGCAAACGGATTTGTCACATTTTCTAAATAAAAGTACTGTATATGCTGACAACTTTAAGTATCTTTATAGCTAAGTGCATATACGTTACTCATGTAGGTTAAATTCAGTTTTGCTGCTTTAAGACTTTAAAAGATTAAAAGAGAGTGTGTAAACTCAATTCAGACTTAGTTGAACAAGCAAATCTTTATTTGAGAAATTATAAATTTTACCAGTCCATGTAAAATGTTGAACCGGCTAGGACCGGCTTAAGCAGAATTCAAGATTTAAACATGAAATAGGTAAAATTTTGAATTTAGAAACATCCGCAGATGTGTTCATACGGCGGTTATCATGGAACCTTCAATGTGACACTTCCGTGTCATTCCATGAAAAGCGGCGTATGGTCCCCAAGTAATAGAAAGCATTGTCATAAGACAGTTTATGAATAACAAGCATTCTTTTACTTGGGATCATATACTGCTTTTAAGGGCTTTTTAAGTATTATTTCTCTCTCTATCTCTCTTTTATAATTAAATGTATGTAAATGACCTTACATATTTGGAAATAAATTTCCATTTGACCCACAAACCACGTCTAACTTTACACTACACGTGATACTACTTTTGTACTGGCAAAACACACTTCCTAACACGCCGTTCAAAGGCTGAACTGTACTTTTCCAAGAAGAAGTGGCCGTTGCGGGCCCAAGGGTAGTTGATACAACGGCTGGAGTGGGAGCAGTTGTTGTTGGGTCCACACAAGGACCATGATTGTAGATTGTTAAGGAGTCATGCTTGTGGGGATCTAGTATTATGACGCATCGAGCTTTTACAAAAAGACAGCTGCAATATATCAATAGAGTTAAAATTTATGAGGATAAAATATTCAATGTAACAAAAAATACAAGGTATTGATTTTTAAATAATTATGTTATAGCGTGGCATAACAAGAAAAGAATTAATTCGTCAAATCTACATCAATACATCTATGCCATACTAAAACTTGTGTTTCGG